AATGGCCTTTGTCTTCGGGTGGGCATGCACTACACAGGTTTGACTCCCTAAGCCCTGAACCCTAAACCCCTAAACCCTCAACCCACTTTACTCTGGGTGTGAAGTAAGACCAGACATCATGTGTTGGACTAGGACCTCGAAACTCCAACGCCCGAAGCCCTGTAAGCCTAAACCTTGAACCCTGAACTCCTTAAACCCGAAACCCGAAACCCTAAACCCTAAACCCTAAACCCTAAACCCTAAACCCTAAACCCTAAACCCAACTCAGTTCTACGAATTACGTGACATGTCGATCTCCGATGCAGCGCCCGGCCTCTCTTGGAGGTCGAGCCCACGGCATTGCCACCAGGTAGGCCCGCCAGGCCCTGGCAACAGATCCTCGCAAGGCTTACACTAGTTCATGGTTGGGCTAGTGTATATGTATATGTATATGTTTATGGATATGTATATGTATGTATATATATATATATATGCATATATTGTGTTTACTTATCATTTGTTTTCTGCATTTTGTTATTCCTTATTGAGTTCAAGTACCCTTGAACATGTAACATGTTACCCCACTATGACAAAGTATGGGGTTTAGGAACGACCGCGGCTCAGGGTTCTCTAGTGCTGCTGGCCCTCATGTGGTCCAAGGCTCGTGGCTCCATTGGCGCACTGGATGAGCGCAGCTGTGAACACATCTGCGCCAGTTATCTTGGAGTATGTCATCTTGCAGAACACGCTCTCGGGCTCGAGCCCCGTCACCATGTAGACCTTGACCCTAAACCCTAAACCCTAAACCCTAAACCCTAAACCCTAAACCCTAAACCCTAAACCCTATGTCACGGATCCCCAATCTCTTGGAGGGTTCCCAGGGTCGAGGCTCACAGACCATTTTGTCCAAGCTTGGGATGGCCAAACGAATGTTTCGGCCGTGTTTGGTGCGAACTTGTCGCCCGGTTCCCCTTGGCAGTAAATACTTCCGATGGCTCACATCACACGCCGCCTCTTCGTCGATCATTCGAAAGGCTTGAGGACGGATTTTTGCACCCCTGCAGGGCTTCAACAACACCCCACATTCTCCCTCTTTCTGTGTTTTGCCCTGTCTTGCCCCCGCACTCTGTCTCGCTCAGTCTCTCATTCTGACTGTGTTCTTTCCGTCCCCATTTCTCTCTTCTCCGAAACAATAAGTACTGCAGCTACTTCCCAGTGCCAAGGGCCAGAAGACTGTTTTGGCACTCATCCACGTATGAAAATTTCCACCAGCCACAATAATCTCACCTACACCCGAAACCCAAAACCCTAAACCCTAAACCCTACACCTTTGAACCCTGAACCCGAAACCCTAAGCTCCCTCAAGCTGCCGCAAAGGAGCCCAGGCCAAGGTGTGGCAGCTCTGCCCCCATGCAAACCTGAGCTTCAAATAGCGGGGCAGGCTCTCTTCAAGGGTTTAGGGTTTAGGGTTTAAAGGGTTTAAAGGGTTCAGACAACTCAAAACCATCAGATGCAGCAACTCCTGCTGAAAGGTGCTGCAAAGTGCTGCAACTTCGTCTGAAGCTGCGAAACCGGGACTGTCACCTTACATACCACTTCCCTATACATGCAGGGACCCAATAATTGGGATACTAGATGCCCGAAGCACCCAACAATTACGTTTAGGGTTTACGCTTTAGGGCTGAGGGTTTGGGTTTAGCTTTTAGGGTTTAGGGCCCCTAAAACCCCAAAACCCTAACACCTTCCGTTTAGGGTTTCGGGTTTAGGGTTTCGGGCCCCTAAGACCCTTCACATGGTGCTTAGAAGCCCGTTGCCGGTCATGGAGCCCTCCGCGCTGACCCAAAGCCGATTGAGCGGATCCTCGAAGAACTCCCGCTCTCGAATCATGTAGCCTTGCTTTGTGCGGTTAGATTATAGTATGTTGCATTCTATTCTAATACTACAGCTTGTTCTTACTATATGTATATACTTCTCTATTGATTTATTCATTTATGGGTGTCTCTTGTTGTTTTTTTGTATGGGGAATCCTCCGGTCACCGGTTGAAACGTTTGGTCTCGACCCAGGAGTAGTGTAGGAAGAAACAGGGTGCACTTTTTGGTTCAAAAAGAAGGTTTATGGTTTAGGGTTCTAAGGGAACCTTGGAACAAGGGCCTAATCTGAGTCCTAGACAAGCTATGCCCTCGGCCGATGCCGGACCCCAGCTCCCCTCAAGCCTTCAAAGCCGCTAATGATAAGATAGCTGATGAGGGCTTAGGGTTTAGGGTTTAGGGTTTAGGGTTTAGAGATGAGGGTTTCCGAAATTAGGGAGATGCCTCCTTATCATAAGGGAACCCTTCTATTTGCGGATCTACATTTGGCGGTCACAGCTTTTATCGCTGTGTTGCATCCGGACGCCATTTTAATTTTGGTGAAGGGCCAGTTCCAGCAGTCGATGTTTGTTAAATGAAGAGGTTGAGGCTTCGCCAACCAAAGCCCTATCATTCCCGCAAACTGTTGCAGAACCCTGCTGAAGTGCTGCCAACATACCCTGGCACAACCACCCCCAAACCCTAAACCGCAAAACCCCAAACCCCTATACACCCTAAACCCTAGACCCTACGACACCCCAAAACCAGCCGAGGGGCAGGTCACATGCTCGATATCCCCCAGGCGCTCACGGACGAGCTCCCGGGCGTGAAGCGCGTGGCGAGTGAAGTTGGCAGAGTGGTTTCTGGGCGTCAGTTGGTGGGGGAGAGCTCGTTCGGGGTTAGGCTGCACGACTTCAGGCCTTAGGGGCTCAGGGTTGAGAGTAATCCGAGTCCAGAGTTCGTAATGAGCATGTAGAGCTGGAATGCACTCGGGGGGATTTGTGGCTTGTGGGGGTTGGGGGGGGAGGGGGCACGTGGGTTGAAGGATGAGGCCGCGTTTCCGGCCTTTCTTGTGCAGCCCCTGCTTGGATGATTTACTGGAAGAATCGAATCAATAGTTACATGTGAATGTCATATATAAACATATATGTACATGCTAATACATTTTGTATGTGTAAGTTCATATATGTATATACATCCGTCATGGAACAACCTAGCTGAGCTTGAGAATTGCTAAGGGAATGCCCAGATACTGACAATGCCCAAGTCAAGGACAACTTCAAGAAGACCTTCTTATGCAAGGCGTGTACCCCAAACCTTGACATTCAAAAGGGTCTAACAGGTTCCCAAAGGGGCATGGACAATATATCAGGCTCTTTGTGGGAAGAAACTAGCCACCAGAGGTGAACCCAGCCTGAGACCAGGAACTCCCTGAAAACCTGGAGCCCTTACAGCTATGGAAATCCTGACTCTTAGTGAGCCGGGCCCGATAGGCCCGCACACTCCCCAGCGTCCAAGCCCTCAACTCCATCCTGAACTTAGACTCTAGGGGAGCTGGTGGCCCTGACTTGGAGGCTTGAGGGTTTAGACCCCTGAGCCCGCGGTTTAGGGTTTGGGGTTTAGGGTTTAGGGTTTCGGGTTTAGGGACCCAAAACCCGAAACCGCAAGCCCACGCCCCCCCCCCCCCCCCCCCCGAACCCCGCAACTCAATCAGCTCGACATGCCTTGAAGGAAGTTCAGCTCTTAGGCTTTGGGGCCGCTTAGGGTCAGGGTTTAGGGTTTAGGGTTTAAGGTTTAGGGTTTAGGGTTTAGAAGTTAGGGTTTAGGGTTAGAAGCGTGGTGGGTTTGGTTTCGAAGCTACGGCCAAGGCACACCATGAACACCTTGCCCGCAGCTGCCCTCAGCACAGAAGGTTCAGCACCAAAGAAGCCCCAAAATTCAAACCCTAGACCCTTGATCCTGAGCCAACCCTAAACCTACTAAAACGTAAACGGGAAGCTTGTGCCTTGCGACGCAAGAGCCTCATGCGTGGCTAATGCAGGTTGCTACATCTAGAGGTGAAGTCGGGTTGTAAGGGTCCCTACACTCTTGCCACGCTTCTACGGCCGCATTTACGAATTGTCTAACCGAAGCAGGCCATCGGAGTTTCCCTGTGAGTTTCAGGTCGGCAGTCGAGGCTAGCTACTCGATGGCATCGAATTTTGCGCCCTTGTGGAGTCTTTGTTTCTGTAAGCCCTAAACCCTAAACCCTGAAGCCTCTTGTATTTAGGACTACAAATGCTGCTGCCAAAATGCAGTTTGATCCCTCAGCTCTTAAGTGTCCCCAAACCCGAAACTCTAAACCCTGAACCCTGAAAGAACCTCTGTTTTCAAATTGTGGTTGCAAGAGTGATGGTGGGCTTCTCAGACCACGAAAGACCATGTTTTGCAATGAACACACCCTGCAACTTGTGAAGACGGACCTTCCCCACATGCACGAATCAAACTCTAAACCTTGAAGCCCGGGGTCCTCAATCTGGCCCTCTTTTCCTGCATTATCTGGCTGCAGCCCTATAGATGTACCCAAAGGAAGAAATTGCCACAATGCCTCGTTTAGGGTTAGGGTTTCTCACTCCCTCCTCTCCCCTTCCCCTCCCCCCTGCCCCATAACTAATCCTAAACCTGAGCCCCCGAACGTCAGTCCACGTCAGCCCTGCACATTGAAGCTGTAAGCCGGACATCAAATTCCATCAATGAATGGGGTTTAATTATAGGCTTTGGGTTTAGGCTGGATTAGGGATTTAGGGGTCTGAAGGCTTTCAGGTTCATGGGGGGGGGGGGCTTAGGGACCCTAAACCCTAAACCCTAAACCCTAAATCCTAAACCCTAAACCCCATAAACCCTAAACCCTAGACCCAAACCCTAGAAGGGCTTCAAAGGGGGATTTAGGGCTGTAGGTTTCAGTATGCTGCAGGGCGCATGCTTTCCGCCGCAGCTGCTAACTCGGCAGCCTCTGCGGCGTTGGCCGTCATGGGCTTCCTGCAAGGTGTCAGGCACAGATCTTCTACTTGGAGGTTCATGGTACCTATTGACCAATTATAACTGTACTTCTAACTGTACTTACAAGCATATTAGGGCACTTAAGGGGGGCTTCTAAGTGGGTTATACGTACAGTTTTAACCATGAACCTCCAAGTAGGCTCAGGCTCTGAGGTTCAGGGTCGCGGGGGTCTCGGATGTAGGGGTTAATTGTAGGTTGAGGTTCAGGGCTGGCTTGTGTCAGGGTGAAGGGTTATGATGTGTGCACGTAAGGTCTATATACGAGACCCGACTGTTTGCAGCCACCTTCAAGCGGCAACCTCCAATCTCCCTCCCTGCCACCCACGGAAACGTTGCCTTCGCCGCCAATGGAAAACTGGGTTTAGGGTGCAGGGTTTAGGGTTCAGAGTTTCGGGTTCAGAGTGGAAATGCCGGGGAAAGACGACGCTTTTGGCTGGAGGTCATGCTGGTTGTGGTATGCCCAGTTCTCTCAGATTCCTCGTTTGGGTACCCTGAATACATCCGGCCGTATTGAAAGGGACACCAAAATGACCGTGACTTGGAGAAGTGACTCTATGGTTTCGGGTTGAAGGCTTAGGCCACTCTCGCAGTTCTCCACATTCGGCCAGCTTTGGGGTACGGTAAAAGAAAAACACAAAAGGCCCATACCCATATTATATTCAATGCACAAAAAAGAAACCGGACTTTAGGGAACTTACCATAAGGGTCCATGTACCTACATAGGGTATACTTGGGCATTAAAGTACTTGCTAAGGGGGCCCAAGCATACGATAATGAGTAATGAGGTACATGGACCCTTGGGGTGACAAGATACTGGTGGATCCAAGCTTCTCAACGAGAATGTGGAAGCCGGCCGCTGCCGCCTGTAGTCCTGCTTGGGGCAAAAAAGATTTTCAAGGTGATAGGCTTCAGTGGTGTTCCTATTACAAATGTCCCCAAAAAGAATCCTCCCCATATGCACTCAACATTTCTAAGGTGCCTAATATACACTCAGCAGTACAATAACATCAAACAGAGTAGTTCAAACCCTGATCAACAAAATCAGGGAAACTTCAGGCCTCTTCTGACATCGAGAGACAAGCTAGACCCGAAGCTAGTGTACAAATTTCCTGTGCAATCAACACCACATGTACGTTAGACTCACGCGCATCAGGGCTTGCCCACGCCTGCCTATTTCGCAGTGAGTTGAGTGCGTCGTGGAGATGATGACGCCATCTGCCATCTTCGCGAGATCAGACTGCAGGAAGTCCACAAAGCTTCTGAACAATGGCACCTCGATTGGTGAGTTCGCTCCAGGCTTTGGGGTGTAGGCCGTGGGGTACCGAACCATCACAGCATGCTGCGTTCACAAGCCGTTCTATTCTTGAGCGCATCCATCCTGATTTGTTGGACCGCAGGGGAACTGCATCACTAGAACGCCTAAAGCCTGAATCCTGAACCCGAAACCTGTCCCCTAAACTCCTGTACCCTTTAACCCCTTAATCCCTAAGCCCTGAACCCCTCAACCCTGAACCCCCCCCAGAGTCGCCAAGAAGTCACCCTAACCCCTAAACCCTAAACCCTAAATCCTGAACCCTCATCCCTAAACTCTTAACCCTTCGCGAAGATCCGGGTGCGGACCAGGCTCGCCGTAGGACGCGGCGAGCTCTGCCGTCGGCATCATGTCCGAGTTGTACTTGCTCCAAGTCCTCGGGTTTAGTGTTTAGGGTTTCGGGTTTAGGGGTTAGGGTTGAGATAGGGAATGTCAAGGGGATCATACTCTAGGTTTCCCGGCAACCTCATCATGAAAATGGTGCCCTTTCTTGGGCTCATGGATTTAATTTGGGCGTCCGAAACTCATGCGTAAACCCTAAACCCTGAACCCTGAACCCTAAACCCCAAAACCGAACAAGGGTTCTACTGGGCATCTGAGAGTCTTTTCCGCTGGGTCAACGATGGCTACCAGCTCCGCAGCTGGATTGCCTGAGTTGCCGACTAATGGCTTAAGAACCCTCCACCCCCCAAAAAATAAATAAATAAATAAATAAATAAATAAATAAATAAATATATATATATGTGAAAAATATACAATATACATATACATATGTATATATATATAAATATATATATTATTATATATTTATAGAAAAAATAAATAAATAAATAAATAAATATATATATATATAAATATTCTTCCCAATAAGGGCAGCATAGGGATTATTGCCTTGTACTTCTCTTGCGAGGGGGGGAGGGGGGTTCTTAGCAAATAGTAGTTGCGCCTTCAGATCACCAGAGGACGCCACAAGCCCTGAACTGTAGGGTTCAGGGTTTTAGGGTTTGGGGTCTGGGGTTCAGGCTTTTGGGGGTTTGGGTTTGGGCTTCAGGGCTTTGGGGTTTGGGGTTCAGGGCAAGCAGGGTTTAGGGTTCAGGGCTTTAGGGTTCAGACACCAGAGAAGATCCAAAAGATGAAAGACAGCTTCTGAACTCGGCAGGTGGCGTCGCAGGTGTGGCAGATGCCATCCCTGCAGCACAGGGGAGTGCACCCTGTGCAGGCATGCTTGTGGGAACTTTATGCTATTCATGTTTGAAGTGTCTGGAAATGGCGTTTCGTGAGGGAACTTGAGAAGCAAGTTGTAGCAGCCCTTCCCACAGACGCTGTCTTGTGTCTGTGCGCAGAACCTACCAGGAGGGTATAACAGCCCGTCTTCGTATCAACTTGCGATGCAAATCGATCTTCTGAGAACAGGAGGACCGATGTGAGCAGGAACTGTTGGCAAACGACCGTGGCGGTACACAGCCCAGAGCTATGACCTACTTCCTACCCTAAACCCTGAACACTAAACCCTGAATGAACCAACCCTAAACCCTAAACCCTAAACCCTAAACCCCATCAGGCCTACGAGCCTTTGCAACAACTTTTCCTGCCTGCGCCCATGAGCCAGCTCCCACAAGAACAATTCGGGCGACGCCTCAGGCTCTCAAACAAAAAAACGCCAATATCGATCTTCTCAACCCCGAATCCATGTTTCATCAACCTCCGAAGTCCAATGGACCCGTTGGGTTGCGCTATTGCACGGTATCCAGACGGGAATTGCAATTCCTGCTGTTGTTGCAATCCTACTTTGATGGTTCGTGCACAAAATGAGAAGAAAGGGCCTCACGCCAAACCTCAGCTTCGGATCCCCTCACAGAGACGCAGCCTTGGGACACTTTCTTGGGCAGGGCCTGTGCTTGGACCCCAGGAACAGAATTTGCGCAGGATGCGCGATCTTGGAGAACTGTCTTCTCAACACTTCTCGAGGCAGGCAGGTCCCTTGAAACCCCATCTGAAACCCGAAGCCCTAAACCCTTAACCCTAAACCCTAAACCAAGCGCCCCCCTCTGGAGGAGGTACCACCCCCTGGCTTGGTAAACCTGGAATGCACAACGCGACTCTAGAGTTAGAGGATAGGACTGTCGGCATTCTGAACCGGAGGCCTTCCACTTGTTTCATGGCTGGCGGCTGGCCGAGACAGCTGCCAGTCAATCAAGTTCTACGTCCGCTTATTGAGGGGCTTTCTCGCACAGGCTCGGCCGAAGAGCTCAAATCCTAAGCCTTGAAAACCCGACAACCATGGCTCCCGCATCCTGGGCTTCAGAATGCGGGCTAAGGGCACAACGTCTCTTACTGTAGTAATTCTTATGGGTTCCCCTACTACCCCCCTCCATACTTCCCCCCCCCTGGGTTCCCCCCTTAAATACCCTTAATTAAGCTTAACTATGGGGGAACCTAGGGGGGGGTAGTATAGAGGGGGGGGGTGTAGGCGAACCCCTGAAATTCAGGACAGGATTAGTTGGCGTGACTTGCTGTAGTTCCAGGAGTGCCTCTTGAAAAGGCCACGGCTCAACCGCCTGAAGTCCTCAAACTCTACACTCCATACCCTAAACCCCTTAAGTCCTGAAACTCTAAACTCCAAACCCTAAACCCTACACCCTTGAGGCTTTCTCAGCCCTACTTGGAGGTTCACGGGTACTTATACTCCCAAGTATAAGTGTACATATATCCTACTTAGAGGACTTAGGTGGCTTATAAGTACCCTGAACCTAAACCCTAAACCCTAAGCCCTAAACCCTAAACCCCAAAGCCCTAAACCCTAAAGCCTAAACCCTAAACCCGGGACCTAAGCCCTAAACCCTAAACCCTAAACCCTAAGCCATAAGCCCTAAACCCTAAACCCTGTAAACCTAACTATCTGAGCCCAGGCACTGCCTGCTTCGCCCGCGGTCTTGGCCTGACCGGCGGCTTATTTCTCCAGGCTTGACTTCCGGGGTTGCAGGGTTTAGGATAATACGTTTAGGGTTTAGGGTTTAGGGTTTCCTTGGGATGTTCCCCCTTGTGCTAACAGTCCTTAACAGGGATCCTAATGGGGGGGGGGGTACTATAATCCTTACTGAGGACTGTTGGTATAAAGGGCATGTATCTAACTTATACTTGCGCCCGAAGTCATCTTAGCTTTACTTTAATGGTCAAGCACCAAAACTAAAACCCGCAAGCCCTGTTTCGCTAAATGGACCCTCAGGGCTGTGGGGTCTCAGATGTCGACTTGCGATTTCGAACAAAAACCAAACCTTTGAAGCTTCAAGCTGTGGGCTCGGCCTGTCAGCGAAAGCATGTCTGTCAAAGAAAGAGTGCGAAGATCAGTTTCGATTTCTCGCCCTTCAAAGAAGCCCAATCTCCAAGCTTTAAACTGGCCGGTCCATCTGAAACCACACGCCTGGAGGCCCAAGCCCTATACACGATACACTTCAATGGCAAAACAAGAACCCAAGAGCAACAGAGTTTGAAGCACCCCAACCACTGCACCCACAAAAAACAACTAGAGAAACAATCAGAAACGTAGGCAAAGATCAACCCCATCCCAAACTCATTTTCAACCGGAGAACTCTAAACTCTAAACCCTTGCAAACCCTAAATTCTGTGTAGTCTGCATCGCCGACAGAACACACTAACTTTGGGGCAGCCTGCAGTGCACTGCGCGATCTTGTTCGCACCGTAAACCCTAAACCCTAAACCCTAAACCCTAAACCCTAAACCCTAAACCCTAAACCCTAAACCCTAAACCCTAAACCCTATCCCGCCTGGCCTGGACACCCTCAGGGCCAGACGGAGAAGCCAT